AGTTCCATGTATTTGTCCTTTCATCAGCGTAAACTATTAACTATAACGGGGTGTTTGGTTGGAGGGAATTTCAATTCGATTCTCACATAATTTTGAAGGCAAGCAAATTCCTTCATTTGGTTAGGGAATTACAATTTTGTAGAATTGAAATTTTCTCATTTTCAAGGAATTAGAATCCCATGCTCTCTTGATATTTCAATTCCATGGAATTTAGAAAGAAAAAAATAAATTTGAAACAAAATTACTCATCTTTTTAAACTTAAATACAAAATAGTGTCTTCTTCGATTGTCAACACACAATGTCAATCGGTTAGTCAATCTCAATTAAATATGTTTTCTCAAAATTTTTCTATCTATTTTATTGCTTTGATTATGTAATTCTAGAACCTATTTATATCGTGTTATATAAATTTTCAAAAGCAAAATTTGAATATAGTATTTAGGATTATTAATAATAAGCATTTTGGACTTTATAATACTTATTATTATTGCCTTTTAATTTTCATGTATACTAAATATTGAAATTAAAATTCTCAATAATTCTATTCTTGCAAATCATAATTTAAATTATCACTTTATTTTTATATTATGTATTTCTTATGAAATTACAATTATTTTCTCACTTAATTTTTTCCTTTCAACCAAATGCCCCCGTAAAGGTCACTAATTCAATGCGGTACAAGGCATGAATAGTGAAGCTGATTCTCCGATTTTTGTAAAATGAATTACCCCATGATTCACAATAAAATTCTCATTGGAATTTTTTTAATCCTCCGTATATATTTTTAGTATATTGCTAGATTGCTAGACTAGAGTGTGGGATGGTTTTTATCCTGCTTCCCAAATGTTCATTTTAATGACCTAAATTAGTTTAAATTGTTTATAGTTGATTAATTCAAATTGAGAATGTTAATAGATCGTCTTTACAGACTAATTACTAAATTAACTATCAACCAATGACTTAATTTTTCCAGATAGTTTTTATTCAATTTTTATAATATAAATAAAAATCTAAAACGAGTAATGGAGAGTAGAATTGTAGATATATCAGAAATTCAGAATCAGAATAATATATTTTTCCTCTATAGTCTTATGCCATACATACCCAGTGGTTAGGAATGTCTGGCTTGCAATTTGTGTTTGGGGATAAAATGTGCTGACATGGCTGTCTGTTATTGGCGGGAAAGCTTGCTTACTACCCATTTCATTTCATGTGCACCATCCAGACTACACCGTTGTCCCATGCTAAGCTATTTGCTTGTCTTTCACCAAAGCTAATCAAGAGCTCAATGGAGAAGTGGGAATAGGCACCGCACTAGCATTCATTCATGGCTCCAACTCTCACTTCTAATCCATTCCTCCCCAAACCCATACCCCATTCTAGACTTGTCGGTTTGCGGATTCCTAAGCTCACCGTTTTCGCTAAGAAGTCCGGTCCATTCCCGCCCTTCCGCCTTAGCAGCGCCGGTGACGATCAGGAAACCTCGCCCAATTCCAGCCCCTTCCGTTTCGACTTTGGGAAGATTCCTGATGTTAAGTCTCTGGTCCCTCTCTCGCCGACGAACTCCGCTTCCGGCTTGTCGTTCGGCCGCCAGCGCCGGAAGGACCCCGGAACGGTATACGTCGCCGGTGCTACTGGCCTAGCCGGAGTCCGCATTGCTCAGACGCTTCTCCGGGAGGGGTTTAGTGTTAGAGCTGGTGTCCCTGATCTCGCTGCTGCTCAAGAGCTTGCTGTTTTAGCTGCTCAATACAAGGTTAAATTACCTAATTTCTCACATATAACCATTAATGTGCAATTCAACTATCAGCTTAGGCTTTTAGTTGAGATGAAACACATGCTTCAATTCTATTTTTAATTACAAATCTCAATTTAATTAGGTATTTGTTTGTTTGAGTAGATGCATATAATTTAGTGAGATAACGATGGTTTGATGTTTGATGGATTTATCAATGCCATAGATAATCTCTAATGAGGAGGCGAAACGATTCAACGCGGTTCAATCTACCTTCCAAGACGCAGAATCAATTGCGAAAGCGATTGGGAATGCAAGCAAAGTTGTTGTTACCATTGGTCCTTTTGAGAATGGACCAACGGAAGAGGTCACGGCATCTGATGCCTTGCAGGTTATCCAAGCTGCTGAATTAGCTGGTGTTGGCCATGTGGCCATTGTGTACGATGGATCAGCCTCATCGTCTACATACAACGTCCTTGATGGCATTACGTCGTTCTTCAACACTCTGTTTTCGCGGTCTCAGCCATTGACACTCCAAGAATTTTTGCAGAAGATAATAGAGACGGATATCAGTTATACGCTCATAAAGACCAGCTTAACGGATGACTTTGCCCCCGAGAGCTCGTACAATGTTGTGGTGTCAGCTGAAGGAACTACTGATGCGAACGATTACAAAGTAATGTAATGTATGCTATTTCTTTTTCTTATCCTGGATTTAACTAGAAGTTTGAACACGACCCTTTACCTTTACGTTCTACCCTTTTCACTTCATGTATTTACTTCATTGCTCCTCATGCTAACGTATTGCCCTTGTGGAAAATTAAGGTTGCCAAGTCACAGATAGCTAAGCTGGTAGCAGACGTTTTCACCAACACTGCGGTGGCTGAAAATAAGGTACTTGTTCTTCTTGTTGATTGGTTCTTGATGGAGAGATAAGGTATCTGAGGCCGGCTAGTGTTTTCTCCTTAGTTATCTCATAGATAAAATACCGAAATTCTAATTCTTTTCCCCACATTCAGGTTGTGGAAGTGAGTACTGATCCCGTAGCTACAAAGAGGACTGGAGATGAACTTTTTAGGTATTGTCATCTCCACTATGATTCATACACTGGGGATTACCAGAGTTTCCTTAACATAAATTATTTGACGATCCACTCTATACAGGTTACACTGGGATTTTCACTCACTGTACATTCCATATGGAAGTGAATGTTTGATTGAATTTTGTACTGTATATGGGGACCGTCAATGTGTTTTCTGATGCATACGTACTCTAACGTTCTTGTTGTATGTTATCTAATTAATTAATGAGAATCTGAATAAGAGATGGTGATGTTTACAGTGTCATACCGGAGGATGGCCGAAGAAAAGCTTATGCAGAATCTGTTGCAAAAGCTAAGGCAGAGCAAGAAGCCGTAGAAGCAAGTGAGAAAGCTCAGCAAGCAGCTAAAGAAGAGGAAGTGAAGAAGCGTGAGCAGCAAGGAACCAAGGCCGTTAATCTTGGCAAAGAAGCTGAAGAGAAGGCTGCGGCTGCTGGAATATCAGTGGATGGCCTTTTGGATAAAGCAAAAGGGTTCAGTTCTGGACTGTCTTGGGAAAAGTTGAGCTCACAGCTTAACTCCGCTGTTCAAGAGCGCACTGAGGAGGTGGAGGAACCAAAAGCCAAAGGATTGAGCTCCGGACTGTCTTGGGAAACTTTCAGCTCGCAGCTTAAATCCGTTGTTCAAAAGGCTAGTGAGGAAGAGGAGGAGGAACCCAAAGTGCGGCTTGCTACTGTTAGGGGACAGGCCAAGGCGCGGAATTTGCCTCCACAGAAAGCAGTAGTCAAGTCTGCAGCACTGAAACCAAAACCGAAGCCAAAACCAGCAGAGGCCCCTAAGCCCAAAGCCAAACAAACTGATTCAAAGGCAGAAGTGAGAAAGGTTTTTGGTGGGCTGTTCCAACAAGAGACCATCTACATTGATGATGACTGAAAGGAGATATAGTAAGAGTATGTATCTAATTTTTCTGATTTTATTTAAATTCAACGCGTTTTACTTTTAGAGTACTTTGATGCCAAGGGTGGTTGCATTGGTTTAGAGAGACTGAGCAAGAAATATGTACAGTCCTGCACACAATAATTATCCTTGTCAATTGAGAGGTTTGGCTTGTAATTGTAATTGTAATTCCAATTATTGCTTCTACTTTAGCTTATTACCCATAACAGTTCTGATCTCCTCTGGGGCATGGAAATTGATTGCTGAAAACATCAAAAGATTAAAGATAAAGATTTGATTGAATCCCATATATCTTACATGAAAATGTGAATGAAGGGATATCTAAGCTGGTTTAACTCCGTGTGGTCATTTGCCAGCTAAAGTCACAAGGTGAGTTTCACTTAGAGCGCATTTTCGGGTGTTGGGAAGGGTCAGTAAATCAAAGGGATATTTGATTTTGATTTTAATTTTGAACTGTTAAAAGAGATAGATAAATGCTTTAATCAGTTTTTATTCTGATTCATCCTTCAAAAGTGGACAACTAGACAGATTCTATATCACAACCCTCTCATGTATTACCTAAAATTATCATGCAACATTGCTTTGTGTAATGTGTATATGTACCCAATTTTCGATAATTATGTTGGATTTTATCTAATTCAAAATCTTATTAACGTATTTCATAAGATGAAACTTGTTACCTGAATGTTACGAGTTCGATTCATGTCAGATTTCTGTCAACACCTTTTTGGTTGAACTCGTCGTACAAAATCTTCCTAATGCAGTTTAACTCTTGTATGGTTTGTGAGTTATTATACAAGATCGCAAGATTTACTCTTCACACTTTCGGGTAGCCTAAGTACATAACTACATAATAATTGCAGTATTAAGTAGCAATCCAGTAATGAATTCACACTTCCAACAGACAAATTAAATTGTGTACATTGGAATATGCATGTATATACGTATTTTTGTTGAGGTGACGAGGAAAACTCGCGACTCACATAAGAGAAATAATACAAATTCATGATTTTTGATAAGAGAATCATGTTCCACCCAATCGGTTACCCCTTTCGAGGCATGTACATATACAAATTAATACCCTTGAAAATGATGGATCATCAATATATTCTTAAGCCCCAATCCATTGAAAATGGTCATCAACATTTCCTACAATTGCATGCATCTAATAAGTTGCCATTATGTCTGAAATTTTCTTCTCAATTTGGTCATCAAATCCCATTATATTTATGTCCATAATATAACATATTCCACACCCAAAAAAAAAAAAAATGGGTAAAGGGGTATGGAACAGTGTATCCATTGTCTTCATGATCTCCCTAGCCTTTGTATACTTCTGCTCCAAATCCCTGACCCCTTATTACTGGATCAGAGAGAGCATCCATGGAAGCAACAACCTGGAAATGCAAGTCCAAACTATCTGCAATGGAGGAAATCGACCAATCATGAAGAAAACAAAGTGCAACTGGTTCCAGGGGAAATGGGTGTGGGATGATTCTTATCCTCTGTATGACTCCATGTCTTGTCCCTTTATCCGAAAGGAGTTTCACTGCATCAAATATGGCCGCACTAATCTCCAGTATCTCAAATATCGATGGCAGCCTCATGGGTGTGAGTTGCCCAGGTGAGCGTTTTAGTTGAAACAGAACGGAACACATATTTTAATGGCAAGGTAAATGGGCATTTATGGACTGACCAATTAAGTTTGTTATAAATTTTGTGAAGGTTTGATGGGGAGGATTTCTTGAGGAGAATGAAGGGGAAGAAGATAATGTATGTGGGGGATTCTATGAGTCTTAATAATTTTGAATCACTTCTTTGCCTGTTACATGGCACAGTTCCAGGAGTGAAATACAAAGAAGAGTTTACTCCTCTCAACGTTACAGTCACATTTCAGGTCTGTTTTACACATATAAGCTCAAGTCACACTACTATTGCATAGATAGTGGGACAATCCTAACAAATTAGTCCGATACTCGATTTATAGTCACAAGATTTCAAATTTTACTCTTTGTTAGATTGTTTATTGGTCTGAGCCGGACAGTTATTGACAACTTAGATTGATTTACCTATTGTCACAAAATAGGTTTATCTAAATTATTTGAACAGTTGACCTAGTAACCAGCAACTTACATTGGTTTATCTTCTTGTAGGCAAATTGTTGTATGGACCATAATAAAAAGTACATTTTTAATATACTAAAAATACATTCTTCTTGTACTGAATGTACATTATACAAAATAATGTACTTTTCCTTAATATAATGTATATTTTTAATATATTTAAAATACATTACTTGTGTACTAAATGTACATTATTTGATAGTATATTCCACATAACTGTGTGAACCACCATCCACACAATAATGATTGCTTCTTGTAGCTCTTTGTCTGTTAGGGTCACAAGACATGCTTCATATATCCATAGTCAAACAATTTATTTGGCAACCATAAAGTTTCAAGTTTAATTTTGCAGTCAACAATGAGCAACTTAGATTGATTTATTTACTAGCTAGGATCACAAGACGAATTTCATGTAGAGCACACCTTTAAATAATTGGATTTTTCCGTAAATCAAAGTATTGCATTTGCATAGATAGATGATAAAAACATGATCGATGTGAATGTACTTTAATTTGCAGGATTATGATGTTGAAGTGATCTTGTTTCACTCTGAATTCCTGGTTGACATCGAGAAGGAAGGAATAGGTCGAGTGGTGAAGATGAAGTCTGTGAAGAATGGAGAGATATGGAAACACATGAACGTCCTCATATTCAACAGTTGGTTATGGTGGTTGAGGATGCCGCCAAAACAGCCGTAAACACTATCATCATCTTTCGACATGATTGAGGTTTGAGATTGTGAATGGGGTGAATAATAATGTTTTTTTGTAGGTGGGATTTTATCGAACAGGTGGACGGCAAGGTAGTGAAAGACATGAACCGTGTACAAGCTTTTCAAATGGCTCTTCAAACATGGGCAAAATGGGTAGACAGAGAAGTGGATTTCACCAAAACTAAAGTCTTTTTTCAAGGAGAAACTGCTGCCCATTATCGGTAACCCTTCCATTTTTCTTTCTTCAACGCTCATCATTTGTGCACTGAAATATGAGATTGTGTGTTTTATGTACACGTTCACCGGTTCTCATAAGAGGGGTTTTATTAGAATATCACACACACAATTGGGGGCGAGGACCAGACTCCCGTGAGAACGGGTAGTTTCATGACTAATTTCATTTATGATGATCAAGAGCTGAGAATTAATAAAAATAAAAATAAAAATATAATAACATTTTTGTAATTATAGCGTTGCATTTAGAAACACGCACTATTATATATTATGAATGCATTGTCAGTTATGGGTGAATATTAAGCGTTTCTAAATGTATTGCCGTAATTACAGAAATGCCAACACATTTTTTTTCTTAAATTGACAAATGAAATTAATTTACACGTTCTCCCGGGACACCAGTACTTTCTCACCTGATCTGATTCTATATAGCACTAGAATTTTGTTGAAGGGATAGGAGTAAAGTTTTTAGTGTGTTGATACAGTGGAGATATATGGGGGAAGACAGCAAAGGCGAGTTGCGAGAATGAGTTCATGCCTTTAAATGAAACAGTGATTTCCACGGCGGCGTCACCGGTTACCAACATAACCAAGAAAATTTTGAGTGAAATAAGGAAAGCGGTGTTTCTTCTGGATTTGGCAACGCTCTCAAGATTAAGAGTAGATGGGCATATAATGAAGTATAATGGAGTCCATGGCAGAGACTGCACACATTGGTGTATTGGTGGAGTCCCAGATACTTGGAACTTACTCCTTTATGCAGCCCTTCTTCAAGATACTTGATTGTATAATCTTACATCTAATGTCCATATTTCATTTCAACTTTGATTTGTGATGTTACATATCTTCATTTTTTTTTTTTTTTTTTGGTTTAAATTTTAAAGAGTTAATCTTGTTGGGTTTAACCGATCTGACTCATTTCATTTGAGAAAAGCGTTTAACCCTATTTCATTTTGAAGGTGTTTGATAAATAGTTGTTAATTGTTAGATGTTAATTGATAGCATTTGCTGGTAAATTAACTTATTAGCTAATAGCTGATTATATGCAAAATGACTTTCTCAAAAAGTTTATCAAAAAAGCTACTTTGAGTAACTTTTTAAATTTTAGCATTTTAGAGCGGTTATAAAAAGCTAATTAATCAAACACTCATATTGATTGTTTAACAAAATCAAACAGTTACTAGTGATCAAATAAGCCAAAATTGACTGATAAGCTAACTATGTTACCAAACACCCCTTTGTTTATTGAATGGAATTTTTGAAAAACATGAAACGCATTTGTAAAATACATTCCTAAATACTTGAAAACACATTTTTCAAACAAATTTTGGCTAAAATTGTCTACTTGACCCAACATCAATGCCATCATTATACTGTGATCCACCACTAACTTAAAGTTCATTTTTAGTATACTAAAAGTTTATTTTTAATACATTGAATGCTTAATTTTTGAAGGTTCATTTGTAAGTATACTAATTAAAAATGAACCTTAAAATACATTAAAAATGAACATTTATCAGTGTCCACAGTATAATTTGCCCATCAATGAAGTTGCTATTCATAGTTTTAGACTTTTAGTGGGTACGCCTAATAAATTCATGGATAAAGACAGAACACAATAAGTTTACATCTGATTGCTAAGAATTCCACTTGTGAGGCAGTACAATTATGTTGGAAAATAACACTAAAGGCACTGCCATCATCAAACACAGCATGTGTAACCATTCAACAAAATATGAGAATTTTCAACTTTCAAGCTATGAGGAGTAATGCAGTTGGACCGTGATAATAAGAATGAAATTATGCAGATTGAACCTCGAGCTTGGGGGTGTTCTCTTCGACTTTTTTTGAGTTTGGTAGGTATCTCCAGCAGCGTTTGTTGACCCCACTAATTTTCTTGGGTGAGTCGGCAATTGGAGTACCTGCATGTTATACATATTTGAAACATGTAAGAAATTGAATTTTAGATAAACCTAGTGCCAGCCGAAAAAAGAACCAAAAAAACGATGCAAGAAAGTATCAAATCCAAAAATAATAACAATGACTAGTAGTGTCGAGAGAAAGAATTCGCAAACCCTTCAGTTCAGCTTGTCAAGTGGTGCCCACAGTTTGTGTATGAACTGCTAGCTCTGGTTCCTAAACAAATGGCAATTGAAACCAAACCTTCATAAGAAGATTCAAGTTTCGGTCTGAACCTGATTGTTTTTAACATATAAAGGTGGCAATGGCACTAGGGAAGAACCCCTATATCGTTTTCCTTCTTCTTTGTTCTCTATTGTGCCACCTCCACATCCACACCAAAAATAAAAATACCACTCCCTGTTTGGTAAATTGTTAGCCTATCAGCCAATTTTGGCTTATCTGATCACTATTAATTTTTTGATTTAGTTAAAAAATCAATATAAGTGTTTGGTTAATTAGCTTTTTGCAACTCCAAAATGCTAAAATTCAAAAAGCTACCCCAAACAACTTTTTCAATTAGCTTTTTCAGAAAAGAAATTATACTAAGAGCTAATTTACCAAGCACTTTTCTACAATCAACTAATGTTATCAACTAGTTATACCCTCTAATTAACCCAATCAGCTAATAACCATTTACCAAATAGGGCCAATCTCTCAGCAAAACTCCACCCCTCCCTGTAACTGAAAGTTGGAGAGCGCTGTGGTTGATGGGGGCAACCATCAGCGGTGGCACTAATGATGAAGCTCCATCAATAGAAGCCATGCAAGGCAGTTGTTTGTCAATGAGGATAGACAAAATAATAGGTACAAGTAATAAGGAAAAGCCATGGTTTCAAAACCTCACAATTTTCTCTTAGGCATGTGTTGGTTTGTTAGTATCAGAAGCCATGGCTTCAACCTTTCATCAATGGGAGCAATGCAAGGCAGTTGTTTGTGGATGAGGATAGATAAAATAATAGGTAAAGAAACGAGGAGAAAGCATAAGCCATAGTTTCGAGATCGGATGTGTGTATATATATACTGGAACTGGATATTAACAGTTCAATTCAGGTTTTCATAGCAATGGTTCAGCCTGGACCATAGTCATCCCTAACACAACCAAACATATACAATCAATCACACAATTTATCCAAAAAAAAAAAAAAAAAAATCAAACATCAGACATTATTGTAAGCTTAAATTGTAAGCTTAAACTACAAATTAACTAAATCCTGCTGTTTTTAATCACTTTCTTTGGTGATCAACAGCTCAAAATTAACATACTTCTTACTAAACATCAAATCAGAAACGCAATAAATTAATAACTAGACATTATTCAACTGAACAATTCCATGCATTCCTCAATTAATAAGAAATGCCAAATTTATTAATAAAAAAATGCAAATATAATAAACGAGAGAAAGAAGAAACCGACCGTCTTTATGAGCGATGCCCCAAGCCTTTCCGTGCGTCCCACTCTGCAACAAGCCCATAAACCCTTTAAACCTCAGAAAAACTCTAAATCCAAATTCGTAAAAGAGTATCGAGTACCTTGTAGAGATTGATTTTGGTGATTTGGTAAGAAACGTCAGTCCAGTGGGTTTTAGCCATGTGATAGCCAATGCCCCAGTTGGGGAGAAACTGCGCCACCTCGAAGAAGTTCTTCTTCTTCTTCCGCTTCGGCTTCTTAACGCCGGCCGCCGCCGCCTCAGCCGGAGGATTGGGAGGAGTGGCTGAAGTGCTCAGATTTCTCAGGAAGTTGAAGGAGAGTCTGAATAAACTGGCGGCTCGATCCGCCGATGGCCTTGCTAGAGCAGTCGCCATTGTTTTCCAATCAGCCAACTGCAGAATCTGCTGCCCTTCGGAGTCCAGAGAGCTAATTTTTCGTTTTAATTTTTGGGCCCCAAGAAAAACAACAACGCCTAATCTGGGCCTTCATTTTTATTTTTATTGATGACCTATGGCCCATTTCAATTTTTCTTTTGTAAAATTTACAATTTATTACTCCGTATTTGATTTGCACACTTTAGTACTTAACGTCACATTTGATATGTCTGATTCGGTTGATTAGGTTTGATTGAAATTAATTTTTATTTAAATTTTTAGAAATTTAAATTTATTATTATTGTATAAAATTTATAAATTATATTTATTAAACACAAAAAATTCAAATTTTAAAATATTAAAAAAAAACAAAGAAATAATAATTGGTTTGACCAACGAATAGTAAACGTGACAAGTAAAATGAGACAGAGAGAAACTCAAAATCACAATAACCAACAAGACTGTTGGAAACTTATTGATGAGAGAAATTCGCAATTACTATTTGATGGTATTTAATGGGTAAGCCCCACTTTGATTGACAACTTCAAATCAAGAAGGTCAATATGTCACTTCCACTGTCAAAACTCAAAACCACTGCTCGAGGTATACATTGGATAAATCCTGTCTAAGCTAACTAACAGGGTCGTTCCAATCAAAATTGGGGCCCTGTGCAATATTAAAACGTGGGCCCCTTTTTTCAAGTAATTTTTATATTAGTTATAGAGAAAATTTCAATTTTGGTCATATGATTAGAGGAGCTTCGTTAATTTCAACACCTAACTTTTAAAAGTGTCAATTTAGTACCTTGAGTATGTAATTTTTGTCAATTTTGGTCACTCTGGTCAAATTGCCGGTCAAATTTCACCGGAAAATTTTAATAGTTGAAATAATGAGGGTATTTTAGCCAAAATTGACATATATCTTGTGTAAAATGCTGATGAAAATTTTCTAGAGAATTTATCTTTGGAACCTTTATTTATCGATAAATCTCTTTTAGGACCATTTTTCACAAGAATATCTATTAATTAGAATCAAGGGCATCTCAATTTCTTGGATCATATAAGTCAAATAAAAGCTAATCATTTAGTTTATCACTGTGACCAACATCATCTAAACAACTACCAACATTCTTATTATTTTCATTGCCACAGTGATACCTATCATCGTTGTGCACAGTATCATTTAGATTTTAGATTTTTTCCAATCTCACAATCATCTTGATCTTCTATATGAAGATTAGCATCTAACAATTTTTTCTTGGCATCATCTTTTTGCTCCTTTATTTGACTTTTTCATCTAACAATTTTTTTTTTTTTTATAATGAATTTTTCAAGAACTCCCTTTTGAGATTGAGTTAGTTGCTCAATTCTTCTTTTCTTTTTACGCTTCTCAAACCCAGATGAATATTTTCTAGAAGACATAAAATTCTAAGGAAAAATAAAAATTTATTTAGAAACTCTATGAATAAATAATCAATCAAGAAACAAATTCTTGAATATATTATTCTGAAATCAGAATTATTAAGTCATGTAAATAATACAATAAACAAAAATTGTAAAACAATACGTAATTTTAATTACCTGTCAAGAGAATTGAAGAACTTTAGAATTTGTATGATAAAAAAAATTGAAGAATCAGTAGCACACGAGTTGAATCTCGTCTTTGCGTCAATTCATTAAATTGTACTGGCTGGACAAAGAATAAAATTAAATTATATAATGCCTGCAAATTATCATCTTTAATAACTTATTTAGTGAATTGAGAATTCCCAAATTGACAAATTTAATTTACAATTTTGCATAATCAATTAGTAACTCAAAAAGAGCACTACTCAAATACTGAAATTATAAATAATACTCAAATTAAAGTGGAGGATGAACAAATACTCAGAGAGCTGTAGCAACTTCCTTCACACACGTCATCTGCTCAAAAGATTGGATATATATTAACTCTGCAAAAGTAATAAACAAATACCTAGACAATTTGTTGTAGAAATATCTCGTGAATCGTGATTCTCC